ACGACCGCGCACACACACACACACACACACAGAGTTCCCTAGCAGCCGAAGGGGAAGTGGGTGGGTGCGGCTGGGAGGGGCAGTCTCAGCCAGGAGGGGCCCTGTGGGGCTGCCCTGCCTGTGGGTCCAGGCTCCCAGCACAGACACCCCCCCCACTGTATCGAGATGGGTCCTGGCGCGGGTGCTGGAACTAGGGGGCTGCCGCCCCCCTGGCCGGACGTGGTTTCCATCATACGCAGGGTTTGCAGTTTGGGTCAATGGCTCTCAGCCCCCCACTGTCCACATGGCTCCAGGGCCCCTGGGTCCTGCTGCAGCGAAGGGCAAAGCCCAGAGGGTCCCAGCCCAGGGGTGCAAATCAGGCCTGGCCCAGCGGGGCCGCCCCCCGGCTCACCAGGAGGGGGGCCGAGAGCTCCCTCCCGGGGCAGCCCCTGTCCGGCTGAGCCCTGCGGGGGGGCTGGGCCGCGTGTTGCCAGCAGGGGGCAGCAGCGAGTGCCCAGCCCGGCCGGGCTCTGGGCCAGACGCACCCGGGTCCCCTTGGCCCTGCTGGGGCCGGATCGCGCCGGGGGCTCCCGCGGTCTGGCTGCTTCACGCCGACCCCCATACCCTGCCTGGAGCCCCCAGCCTGCAGGGACGGCCTGTGCCCGGGACCGGGTTATAACACAATGGGGCGCAGGGGGCCCAGCTGAGCCGGTGACCTGGTCGCTGTGGGGCTGCCCTGTCCTCGTTATTCACCCCCTCAGGCCAGTTGCCCCATGGACCAGCAGTGGGTTTGTATTTACTGTCAGGTCATGCAATAAATGTTGCCCGGGGCCGGGCCCAACTCAGGGTTGCAGGCATCCGGTTTTGGGGTTGCCACGGGGGCTCCTTGCGCTGCCCTCCCCCAGCACCCACTCAGCCGCTCCTGTTGGCCAGGAACCACAGCCAATGGGAGCTGAGGAGGCGGCGCCTGCAGGTGGGGGCAGCGCGCAGGGCCCCTGGCTGCACCTCCGCCTAGGAGCCGGAGGGAGACGCTGGCAGCTTCCTGGGAGCAGCTTGAGATAAGTACTGCCCGGAGCCTGCACTCTGAAACCCCTCCTACACCCCAAACCCCTGTTCCAGCCCAGAGCCCTCACCCCCTCCTGCACCCCAACTCTCCCTCACCCTGAACCCCTAATTTCTGGCCACACCCCAGATCCCACACCTCCACCGCACCCCAACTCCAGCCTGGAGCCCTCTCCTGCACCCTAAGCCCCTCTTCCCTGGCCCCACCCGAGAGCCTGCACCCCCAGCCAGAGCCCTCACCCCCCCTCACAGCACCCCAACCCCCTGCCCCAGCTGGTGAAGATGAGCGAGTGAGCAAGCGTGGGGGAGAGCGAGCGACGGAGGGAGGGGGGTGGCTTGGGCGGGGGGCGGACGGGGCATTCGCTTTTCTGCAAATAAAGTTGGCAACCCGAGCCCAGCTCAGACCCCTGCCGGACCCACTGGAAACCCCCGTCCCCCTGCTCCAGGGGGGTTCCCCATAGGCCAGGCCTTGGCGGGCTGCCGTTTGGCCAGTCCTGGCTCCATGGGCAAGGGCACCGATGCTGGGCGGGGCCACGGCACAGACCCCATGAACATCTCCGTCTGTTTCAGCGACGCCGTCCCTGGTCGGCCCCACACGGCATCGCCCCCGAGAAGGGGCTCAGGCGGGATGGACGGGAGCTCCTGGGGCGGGGGGGGGAGAAGTGCAGGGGTCATTCTCGGGGAGGCGGCTGGCTGGTCACTAAGGGGTTAACTCCAGTGGGGCTGTCCTGCCCCATAAGCTGCAGCCAGGCCCAGAGGAGCTGCAGGGAGGAGCCCAGGGCAGTTTGTCTCCGGCCCGGCTGAATTCAGCCCCGGCCGGGGGCATGGGACCCAGGCAGCAGACATGACGGGGGGACTGAGCTGGGTGCCCCCAGCCATGGGTCAGGCAGACGCGCAGTCTGGACCTGAGGCCACGTGTGGGGCCTTTGGTCTCGCTCTGCTCCCCACATTCCCCCCTGCCCCGTGATGGGCCGTGAGACGCTTCCCGGGGTGCCAGCCTGTGAGGCCCCTCGCGACCCCCTTGTGACGTTCCCCTGCTGTTATCTGGGCCGGTGATCTGCTGGGTGACTCCAGCCCTCGACTCTGGGAGCCAGCCTGACCCTGCTCTGCTGTGAGAGCCCCCACTCCTGGGTTGTTCACGCACAACCTCTGGGGTGTAAGCTGCTCCCAGCTACGTGAGTGAGCACTTTTGGCCAGCCGCTGCTTGGATTGTGCAACCGAATGACACTAGCCAATATCTCCGGTCCCAGACACAACCCTAGGAACCTCCGTCTTGCAGTGTCCAGTTATGCCCGCTGGATGCTGCAAACTTATATGAGTTCATCAATTTAACAAAGAAATTGATATGTCCCAGGCTTGTTATCCCAAGGGGGGTCTCTGACAGGCTTCCAACCAAAGCCAAAGCACAACAAGTCAGATTTGGTCAAATGAAATAAAAGCAAAACGCATTCTAAGCTGATCTTAACACTTTCATTGTCCTTACAAACTTAGATGCTTCTCACCACAGGCTGGTCGCTCTTCAGCCAGGCTCTCCCCCTTGATCAGCGCTTCAGTCGCTTGGTGGGGGTGTCTGTGGATGTAGATGGAGGTGGAAGAGCCTGGCAAACGTCTCTCTTATATCATGTTCTTTCTTCCCTCTTGGCTTTGCCCCCGCCCCAAGTCAGGTGAACATTACCTCATCATAGTCCCAAACTGACCAAGGGAAGGGGGGTGACTCACTCGAGAGTCCAACAGATCCTTTGTTGCTGCCTAGGCCAGTGTCCTTTGTTCCTGTGGGGCTGGGCTGGGTTTGTCCCATACTTGCCCTGATGAGGTGTGAACTGCCCCTCTGCTCCTGGAGAGTTTTGCCTGGGCTTGTTTTAAGGCATGAGGACACATTCTCAGCCTCATCACTATAGACATGAAATTACAACCTGTAACATTCCTGTAACAACACTGCTCAGGGCATCAGGAGCCTTCCAAACACACCCAACATGGTAAACTTTGCACTGGACACCACACGATCATTTTATAAGGATGAACATGGGGGTGCAGGGTGTTCCCCCGAGGTTCAGAGCATCGCACTCCCGCCCCGGCACAAGCAGCCTTGTCTGGCCCTGCCAGGAGTCAAATCCCCGCCCCCCCGCCCCCGCCATGGGCGACCTCCCCCCCAGTCCTCGGCAGGTCAGCGATCGGCCCCCACCCTCAGCACCAGGCACTGCCCATTGGCCAAATTCCCAGCTCCACTGCCCCAAAGGTCCATGACCCCCCAGCTGAGCAGTGACCCCCAACCAGTGTCGCTCGGCCTCGGCCCGGCCAGGCGTTACAGAGAAAACCAGGCTGAGTTTATTGCCCAGAGCTGGGAGAAGGCGCCGCTGGAGTTAACGGGACAATGGGTGAGATGTAGAATAAACTGGGAACGCACTTCCCAGCGCCCCGACGTCCCGAACCCGCCCCAGGCAGCTTCTGCGGGGTTCAGCTCCCCCCAGTGTCCGGCTCCCAGCCGGCCAGGCTCCAACGCTCCCTGCAGGAGACAAACCCGCTGGCAGCTGCTCCCCTTGGGGCAGGACCCTGGGTGCCCCCCCACGATACCTCCCCCAAAGCCAGCCTCTGGCCTCAGAAACACCCTCCCCCCCGGGCGCTTTTCCCTGCCAGCTGCTTCCCTGGGGCTGGTGCAGATGCTGCTGGGGCCTGGCTCCGGGTGGAACCAGCCGCCTGGCGAGCTCGGCACCACCCAGTGCCCCCAGAGCCGGGCACAGAGAGAACAGCCCAGTGCCTCCTGTCTGCCAGGGACGGGCCTGGCGCCTCCCGCTGCCCGGCTGGAACCAGCCCCTGAGACCCAGGCCAGACACAGCTCCGGCCGTGCCCCCGGCACACGGCTCACCACGGTCACCGCACCCAGCGCTGCCGGCTCTGGGCAGGGACCTCCCGAGCCCCTTTGGGGGCTGGTCTGGAGACATCAGAGCCGGGGCCCCATGAACCTCTCGGTGCCCTGTGCCGTGCACTGGGAGCAGGAGGGGGTGTCACTTCTTCAGCTCCTCGTACACGTCCGGCTGTCGGGGCTGCAGCGTCTGGGGGAAACGGGGATGATTCAGCCAGAGACGCCCCAGGGGAGAGCTGGGGACCCTGCCCTGCAGGACACAGCCCCCCAGCTCCCCCCACGGGCCCCAACAGCCCCTCCAATCTCAGGGGCCCATCCCCCCACTGAGCCCTAAAAGCCCCTCCAAACACAGGAGGACCATCCTACTTCCCCCCCCAGTGCTGGACCCCCCCAGCCCCTCCCCTCAGCCCTGGGGCTCCCAACTGGTCCCTCTCTGGCTCACTCTGCCCCCCCCCAGCTCTGGGATGTGATAACCAGCCCCGTTCTCAGCCATAGGGTTTGGGGGGGCAGCTCCCCCCTCCCACCACTGGGTCCAAACCCTTCTCAGGGGGGAGGATACAGCGCAAGGGGCAGGCGCTCACCTGGTACATGGGGCTGAGGTCAGGGGGGCTCCCGGGCTGAGCCTGGGGGAGGCAGAGGCAAGAGAGTCGTTAGCAGCAGACCCAGAGACCCCCTAGCCAAGCTCGGGGCGGGGGACGGATGACCCTGGGACAGTCAATGGGACCCAGGGTTTGTGTAACCCCCCCCACCCCCACCCAAAGAGGACAGGGTAAACTGGCTGGGGGCTGCAGGTCGGGACTGAGGGGCACCCGCAGAGGAGGGGGTGGGACTGGAATAGCAGAGGGAGGGGCTGAGCCCTTGTCACTCACCACTGGCCCCGCCCAGGCTGTAGGGGGCAGGTTCTCGTACACCAGGACAGGTGCCTCGTTCTCCCTGGGGGTCTTGTTCCGGCAGCGAGAGTCTGGGAGGAATCAGCAGAGATGCTGGAATTGGGGTCCTGGTCCCAGCCCCCCCTGCTCTAACCACTAGACCCCACTCCCCTCCCGGTGCCAGGATAGAACCCAGGAGTCCTGGCTCTCTGGGGGCGGGGCTTTTACTCACAGAGGAAATAGGCCCCGACTCCGACCAGCGCCGCCCCCGCCAGTGACCCGATGACGATCCCAGCGACGGCCCCAGTAGAGAGACTTGAATGGGCACCTGGATGAGGGGCGTCTGGAGGAGAGACTGGGGGGGAGGGGGGTTTGGATCAGACGGTTCAGCCACAATCCCCCCCACCCCGCTCCCTGCAGCCCCTAGCGCCGCACTGGGGCATTGGGCTCTAGGCACGCCCCGTCCCGGAGCCAGAGCACGGTGTCGGCGCTGGGGGACCCGTTACACGTGAGGGTGAAGGTCCTGTTCTCAGGCACGAGGGTTTTGTTTGGTGTCACCGTGAGCCTGGGCAGCATTTCTGTGCAGGGAACAGAGAGAGCGTTACCATGTGTCCCTGCTCCTCCATGTGGGATTGGGGCTGCTGTCCTGCAGGACTGGGGCAAGGGTGCTGGTGTTGCCACCATGTGAGGTTGTGGGAAAGGTCCTGCGGTGTCGTGGGAAGGGTCCTTCACCCTTTGCCCCTCAGAGCTGTGGAGACAGGCAGTCGCCTTCTGGGATCCGGGAGAGGGTCCGTCTCCCCCGGCATTGAGTCTCACAGTTATTGGTGCCTCCCTGAGACTCTGGCTCCCGGAGTCCTGTGATTTTTGGGAGACTCTCGGCTGTGGTTCAAAGGGAGAGTGACGCTCCGGCTCCCAGGCTTCGGCCCAACAGCAGGGTTTTCAAGCCAATCCCATGACAGTTCAGGCCGGACTCAGTCGCGACCCCACAGGTCTCTTGGTGCCACCGGACACCCCGTGGGCACAGCCCTGTGCTGGTTCCTTGCTGTCCCCTCCGACCCGGACGGCGCTGCCCATCCCAGACCCAGGCCAGGGGTGGGGGTGACCCCGCTGGTGCATCATGGGCAGTCAGCCAGTGTTACTCTCGGATCAGAGAGACCCAGTGGGAGTGAGGGGGGCAGCCCCCCAGCCTAGCACTGCCCCCTATTCCCACCTAGCCCTATAGCTTAGCAAGGGCCTCATAGCCCCAGGCCCCCTGGTTTCTCCCCACGACCCACGAGAGTCCGACTGGGGAGGGGCGTCCAGACTCCAGCGGCAGGGCCAAGGAAACTCCTCCAGTCTGTACCCCCTTCCCCGGGGGGCTGGGAACGTCCCCTCCCGTCTCTTCCCTCAAAGCAGCCCCCATCCGCCTGTCCTGCTCCGAGCTCCCTGTCCTGCCCACTGGCTAATTCACTCTCCAGCACCCCTTGCTGGGGGGCACCGAGCAGCGCGGGGGCGTGGGGGGCAGGCGCACCAGGAAGGAGCTAGTCAATCCCAAGAGAGAATCAACAGAGCAAAGGAGAAAACAGCGGCTCAGAGAGATGGTGCCTCCCCTTCCTCCCCCCCGGATCTGCCCCATCCGCTACCCACCCCCAGGAGGCAGCGCCGGGGCCAGCAGCGCCCAGATCTCAGGCGGGGACACAGACCCGGTGCGCGGCTGGAGGCCTGGTGCCAGTCCGTAGGCTAATAGCAGGTACAGACCGACACCCCTGAGCCAGAGCCATGGCCACACGCCTGGCCCAGGTGGGAACCAGCCGGAGGCACCAGGTGGACAGGAATCTGCTGTTGGAACTGCAGTGGGGCATCCCACAGGGGACAGATGCCCCGGAGGGGCGGGGGGCAGAGACAGGACAGAGCCGGGAGGGAGAGACGGGCACAGAGCAGGGCACTCGACGTGCTGATCGGACGAGTCTGGCATCGCTTGGAAAGCGACAGGGAGCGTCCGGCCCAGCTGCAGCACGGCTGGGAGCAGCCCCCACAGGACAGAGCCCACGGGGTGGAGCTGGGCCCTGGACAGGACCAGAGCGCAGGGGGATGTGGCTGGACTGACAGTGAACTAGCCAAGAGCGCCCAGCACGGGGAGTGGGATCGGCGCAGGCAGTGACAGGTGATAGAGCAGTGTCTGAACCAGACAGACGGGAGCGTCCCCTGGGGAACAGAGCTCGAGGGGTGAATCCAGAACTGAGCTCAAGACCCCAGACCCGGCTCCAGAGCCAGAGAGAGCACAGGAACGGCACTGACCCGCGGGGTTGGTGCACAGAGTAACAGGGGACGTCCCAGGCAGACAGGGAGCCTGGCTGGAGACAGGACAAGATCCGGAGTGGCCGGGGCGCCCGCTGGACACACAATGACGGAGCCCCTGGCGCTCTGTGGGCCTCAGGCAGAGGTGGGCGTGGGGCGCGGTGCCCGGCTACTCACCCAGCACCTCGGTCTCCGCGCTAGCCGTGAGGCCAGTGACAGGGTTGTGAGCCTGGCACTTGTACGTGCCCAGATTTAATGTTGTCAGGTCAAAGGTGAAGCTGCTCCCGGTCTGGGGTAATTTGGTGCCATTGAGAAACCAGGAATAGCTCGGGGCTGGGACAGAGACGGCGACGCACGTCAGGGTCAGACGGGACCCAAGAGTCAGGTTGACGGGTCCTGGAGGGTCTATCCTGGCGGATTCTGGCCCATCTACACAGAATGGGAGAGGATCGTTGGGAAGGAGGGGACCAGCAGAACAAGGTATAAATAGGTGCCGCACCCCACCCCAGAGGCAGCCGCATCTCCGTGGCTGGGTGATGCCGGCAGGGTCAGGGGCAGCGCGGCCGGGGGACGGGGCTGCAGTTACTCACAGGCCAGCGTCACGGTGCTGGGCTCACTGCGGTTGGTGTTGACGGGGTTCCCGACCTCGCACTGGTAGGTCCCGGTGTCGCCCCAGGTGAAATTCAGCACAGTGAGGGTCCGGTTCTCCGAGGATAGCTCCAGCCGCGTGTTGGGTGTGAGGTACGACCCGTTCTGGAGCCAGAGCACGGTGTCGGCACGGGGGGAAGTGTTACACGTGAGGGTGAGGGTCCCATTCTCAGGCACCTGGGTTTGGTTTAGCGTCACCGTGGGCTTGGCAAGCTTTTCTGTGCAGGGAACAGAGAGAGCGTCACCGTGAGTCCTGCTCCTCCATTCACCTGGGATCAGGGCCACCACCCTGCGGGACTGGGGGAAGTGCCCTGTTCTCACTGCCCTGCGGTGTCGTGGGAAGGGTCCTTCACCCTTTGCCCCTCAGAGCTCTGGAGACGGGCAGTCGCCTTCTGGGCTGCGGCAGAGGGTCCCTCTCCCCGGCCTTGAGTCTCACAGTTATTGGTGCCTCCCTGAGGCTCTGGCTCCCGGAGCCCCGTGATTTTCAGAAGACTCTCGGCTGTCGTTGCACCATTTCCCAGGCTCCGTCCTGAGAGCAGGATTTTCAAGCCGATCCCGTGACATTTGGGCCCTACTCGAGGGTCACGACCCCACAGGTCGCTTGGTGCTGCTGGCATTACCCCGTGGGCACGGCCCTGTGCTGGTTCCTTGCCGTCCCCTCCGACCCGGACGGCGCTGCCCATCCCAGACCCAGGCCGGGGGTGGGGGTGACCTCGCTGGTGCATCATGGGCAGTCAGCCACAGCCACTCTCACTGTCCCCGGGGAGATCGGGGTGATGTCGTGGTGGGGGACAGCTGCCCAGCCTAGCGCTGCTCCCCATTCCTACCCAGCCCCATAGCTCAGCAAGGGCCTCACAGCCCAGGCCCCCTGGGTTCTCCTCACGACCCACGAGAGTCCGACTGGGGAGGGGGCGTCCGGATTCCAGCGGCAGGGCCAAGGAAACTCCTCCAGTCTGTACCCCCTTCCCCGGGGGGCTGGGAACGTCCCCTCCCGTCTGTTCCCTCAGGGCAGCCCCCCCATCACCCTGTCCCCCTTTGAGCTCCCTGTCCTGCCCACTGGCTAATTCACTCTCCAGCACCCCTTGTTGGGGGGCACCAAGCAGCACGGGGGCCGTGGGGGGCAGGTGCACCAGGAAGGAGCCAGTAAGTCCCAGGAGAGAGTCAAGAGAACGAAGGAGGAAACAGCAGCTCAGAGAGATGGTGCCTCCCCCCCGCCCCGCCAATCTGCCCCATCCGCTACCCACCCCCAGGAGGCAGCACCGGGGCCAGCAGCGCCCAGATCTCAGGCGGGGACACAGACCCGGTGCGCGGCTGGGGGCCTGGAGTCAGCCCGTAGGCTTATAGCGGGTACAGACCCAACCCCCCCCCCCCCCGCCCCCAGAGCCATGGCCACACGCCGGACGCACCAGGTGGACAGGAATGTGCTGTTGGAGCTGCAGTGGGGCGTCCCACAGGGGACAGATGCCCCGGAGGGGCAGGGGGCAGGGACAGGACGGTGCCAGGAGGGAGACGGGCACAGAGCAGGGCACTCGACGCACAGATCGGATGGGTCGGGCACCGCTTGGAAAGCGACAGGTGGCGTCCGGCCCAGCTGCAGCACGGCTGGGAGCAGCCCCCACAGGACAGAGCCCACGGGGTGGAGCTGGGCCCTGGACAGGACCAGAGCGCAGGGGGATGTGGCTGGACAGACAGTGAACTAGCCGAGAGCGCCCAGCACGGGGAGCGGGATCGGCGCAGGCAGTGACAGGTGATAGAGCAGTGTCTGATCCAGACAGACGGGAGCGTCCCCTGGAGAACAGAGCCCGAGGGGTGAATCCAGAACTGAGCTCAAGACCCCAGACCCGGCTCCAGAGCCAGTCAGAGCCCAGGGCGCAGGAACGGTGCTGACCCGCGGGGTTGGTGCACAGAGTAACAGTGGACGTTGCAGGCAGACAGGGAGCCCGGCTGGAGACAGGACAGGTCCGGAGTGGGGCACAGGCTGGACAGACAGAGGCGGCTGTGGTGCCCGGCTACTCACCCAGCACCTCAATCTCCGTGCTAGCCGTGAGGGGTTGTGAGCCTGGCACTTGTACGTGCCCACCTGATCCAAGGTTGTGCTATTAATGGTCAAGCTGCTCCCGGTCGTTAGCAGGGGCGGCTCTAGCTTTTTTGCTGCCCCAAGCACGGCAGTCAGGCGGCGTTCGGCAGCTTGCTTGCGGGAGGTCTGCCGGGCCCGCGGCTTCGGTGTATCCACGGCCGAATTGCCGCTGAAGCTGCGGAACTGGCGGACCTCCCACAGGCAAGCCGCCGAGAGCTCCCTGACTGCCACCCTCGCAGGGACCGGCAGGCCCCCCCCGCGGCTTGTCGCCCCGGGCACGCGCTTGGAGCGCTGCTGCCTGGACCCGCCGCTGCTCGTTACTGTCGGTGCCGTTGAGAACCCAGCGATAGCTCGGGGCTGGGACGGACTCGGTGACACACGTCAGGGTCAGAGGGGACCCGAGGGTCAGGCCGATGGGTCCTGGGGGGTCTATCCTGGCGGAGTCTGGCCCATCTACACACAGTGGGAGGAGATCAGGGGGAGGGATGGCACCAGTAGGACTAAGTATAAACAGGTGCCATGTCCCACCCCAGAGGCAGCTGCATCTCTGTGGCTGGGTGATGTCGGCAGGGCCAGGGGCAGTGCGGCCGGGGGACGGGGCTGCAGTTACTCACAGGCCAGCGTCACGGTGCTGGGATCGCTGCGGTTGGTGCTGACGGGGTTCCCGACCTCGCCCTGGTAGGCGCCAGCGTCGCCCCGGGTGACACCCAGCACCGTGAGGGTCCGGTTGTCAGGGGACAGCCCCAGCCACTCACTGGGCGCGAGGGACGACCCATCCCGGAGCCAGAGCTGAGCCCAGCAATGCCCGGGAGATGCTGACAGGCAGAGCCCCCCCCTCCCCCGATGAGCTGCCCCCGCTGGGCCTCGCTGGGCAGCTGGGTCAGGATCCGCACGCGGGACCCGGGCATTCGCCAGCTCCCTGGGCAGGTGCCAGCCCCCAGCTCTGGCTCCGGCCCTCCGGCTCCTGGATGCCAGCTGGTCCCAGTGCCCCCCACTGAGCCCCCCAGGGTCAGCCCCCCCCCCGGCTGGGTGCTATGGGTCCAGTTTCACCTTCAGGGACTGGTGAGTGTGACCCCAACAGTGTCCGGCTCCCCCCCCTGCTGCAAACAGCCTGGGGGCGCTGGATCTGGGGAGTCCCAGATGCAAAGGGCCCCACAGTGACATCATGAGCCCCCCTCCCCCGTAGGCGCCAAAACTGAGCAAAGTGGGTGTAAAAGAGCAGGTGGGTCTGACCCCCCCCCCCGTGATACAGGGGTCTTCCCAGCATGCACCAGGGCACCTGGGGGGCCTCATCTCCGCAGCTGGTCGTACACACCCCACTGTGCAGTCTGCAGCTCTGGGGAAACAGGGAGGGGTCACAGACACCCTGGGGATCTGGGGACACCCCCGCCCTGGGGGCGCCAGACCGCCCCTCACAGGCCTCGACAGCCCCTCACCAGCCAGGCTCATCCCAGGGGAGACGCCCAAAGCCCCATCGCTGGGGCAGGGATGGCGGTGGGGGGGGGCACAGATGGGATCAGCGCAGCTCCCGGGGGTGGCACTTACCATAGACGCGCAGAGCCACCGTGATGGAGAGAACAGGGGTAGCAGCGGTAGGGATCTGTATCTGCACCGTGTAGTTCCCGGTGTCATTGAGCATTAACCCCGCGATGTTCAGGGCGCAGCCCGGCCCCGCTGTCTCCCGCCCCGTGTGGGCCGAGCCGTTCTGCTGAATGGGGTTTGGAGGTGGGAAGTAGGTGAGGATCCGGCTGGTTTCATCAGTGGTCGCTGATCGGTACCAGCTGCAGGACACGAAGCCCTGTGGCGGTGGCTGCGGGGCCAGGCTGACGCCCCCTCCCACCACGGGGCTCGGCGGGGTGAGGACGATGGTCACTGGGGTCTGGGCCGGCGCCGGCTGGAGGCAGGAGCCCAGGACGGAGGCTGCGGGGGGGAGACCAGAGAGACTGATACTAACTGGTGCCCCTCACTCCCGACCTGCAGCCCCTCTGCTTTCATTTGCACTGTCCCCTGTTACAGCCCTGTGTGTCCCGGACACCTGGGTCCCGCCCACCCCCGCTCCACCCTCTCAGCTGCAAGGGACCCCTCGCCAGGTGCCGCCCGACGCCTTTTCCTGCAGCGGGACCTGCCTCGACCCAGGGGCGGCGCCTCTGGGCCGGGACCCTGGAGTCCGGACCCACAGACAGGGCAGCCCCACGGGGCCCCTCCGGCATCAGACTTCCCCTCCCAGCCTCGTCCGCCCACTTCCCCTTCGCTTTGGAGGAAGGAACCAGTGGGGGGAGTGGGAGGGTCTTCTCCCTTCTCCCCCCTCCCCCCGTCGGGTGCCAGGTCCCTGGGTCTCTGCGTGGGGCTGGTTCCGCCTGCTAGATCTGGGGGAGGGAGTTCAGTGAGGGGGGGTCTGGGTGTGTCCCCCCCCCCAATGCTCTGGGACAGAGACACAAACAGCTGATCCCTGCTAATCCCCCCCATGCAAAGCAGAAGCTGGGGGGAACAATGGGACTTCTATGGGATCCCCGGGGCTTTGGGGGGGAGCCTGGGATGGAACCAGCCTGGGGAGGGAAGTGTCAGAGCCTCCCTCCTGCTACCCCAGCCCTGGGGTCCCCCCACCCAGCTCTGCCGGTGCCCCTCAGTCCCGATCCGCAGCCCCTCGGCTTTCATTGACACGGGCTCCTATTGGAGGCCTTTGTGTCCCGGACACCTGGGTCCCACGTTCTCCCCTCTGACCTGCCAGGAGAATCCCCGTCCAAGGGCCGCCCGGTCTGTGGGGGATTCGCCCCATCGCCCGTCGCTGCTGCGGGACCCACCGGGAGCTGCCGGGGCGGCAGAGACGCCTGGTTCCCAGCTGGGGGCAAAGGGCAGAGACAGGGGAAGTGGTGGTGGGGGAGGGAGCGGAGCTGGCACGAAGCACCTCCCTTGCCCGTCCCAGCGCAGGGACGGGGCCGCAGGGTCGCACAGGGGAGAAATCGTCCCCTGGGGGGCTGGGGCATGGAAGAGGACAAGGCCCCCCAGCCTCCAGGAATCCCCCCCCAGATATCGCCCCCCAGTGGAGGTTTTGGGGCTCATCCCTGGAGGCCGCCCATGGGAAGTGGGGGGGAGGGGGCACTGAGAGACAGACCCCTCTGTTAGAGTGTGCGGGGCACAGGGGGGACCCCTGTGTGTTGGGGGGGCAGAGCCCAGACTGATGGGCACCTGGGACATTGCTCGGAGCCAAAGCTCCCCCCCCCGCAGGATGGGCCGGGGCTGGGGGGGAGCAGGGGGGGAACAGGACACACAGGGTGAAGCCCCCGGGCACAGACACCTAGAGCTGGGCTGGGCAGCCTGATCCTGCCATCCCTGTGGGGCCACATGTGTCCACTCCCCCCGCACCCCCCTCCCCCACACAGATCAGGGCCTGGCAGGGGGCGCAGGGACACACGGGGGGCCGGGGGGGGTCCCCATTAGCTGCGTCCGGCGGTTCCCGGTGTTGCTGAGTGTTACCCCGGGACGTTGGGGAGTCGCCGGCCCGTTGTGGCTGCCCCCGGGGTCATGGGGCCGAGCAGGGGCTGGGGGGGGCCGTCGGGCTCCATCCGCTCTCGCTGAGAGGTGCCAGCCACAGGCCAGGGGCTGCAGGGCCAGGCCGGCTCCCCGCCCCTCCCGGGGCTCTGTGAGTTGGGGCGATGGGGATCGGGGCTCCGCGGCCAGGTGGAGGCTGGAGCTCAGGACAGAGGAGGCCGGGGGAGAAATAAGAGAGACTGATACAAATTGATGCCCCTCACTCCCGACCTGTAGCCCCCAGCCCTGGGCTCCCCAC